TCTCTTAATCACACATGTCACATTGAGGTATAATCTACTGGTAAGTTTACTTAACTTGAGGCAAAGAAGGAAGAGCTAGCCGGCCACTTAGAGAGCCCGGCCCTGGGGGAAAAGCTGGGTTCGGAGCCCAGCTCCCATCATTACCAACGTGTTTTCTTCAAGGCTCAGAAGCTAAATTCCCGGGTGATGTGGGGAGAATATTAACCATCTAGCAGGCTGGTCGAAAGGAAGAGAGACTCCGTGAAACTCCTAGTGTGCAATCGGGAACAACAAACGGTGCCTGTTCTACGGGGCCACGTGTCTTAGCCCTTGTGTTATCCAGCCATGTCTTTCCTGTGAAGTGAATTCAGGAGGAACGCTCATCCTTATGGGGGCCCATTGCTCCGCCAGGGGGTGGGAGGGCACGTAGTAACAAGCATTGACGACACTGGGGTCGTGCTCCAAGGACTTCTGTGTACGTTTTGTCCTCTGGTTGTCACAAGGATGTTCAGAGGCACTGAAATCTGGAGACGGGGAGGCGTGGACAGTTGACCAGGAACCCCAGGGACACAGGAGGGAGGAGACCACGTGGAGCTACCTAGATCCCAGCAACGTTCTGCCATAATATCCTGCCTCCTAAGAGAACAGACATATAAGGAATAAGTAAAAAGTGAGATTGGAAGGGGCTGAATAAAACTTTAAGAAGTTATGTAATCATGACTTAAAACAAGTTCAAGTTGGTTATGAATCTCCCAGTGTTGGGCTAAAAGCAATAAAATGGGAATAGTTTGATACTCTTTTATCGCTTTCTGTGGAAAATATTCTGCTTTTCTGTGAATTCTTCATAGACTGTCATTTGTAAAGTTTATACTAATTACCTGCCAGGAAAAATTATGATGAACTTAATATAGGTCAGGGCTTACATTTTTTAGATTGTACATCAATTTCGATGAAGGGAACAGGGAGGAGCAGTTGCACGGGAGGGTGTGGAAGATGCCACTAGGGGGTGCTAGACTCTGTTTTAACCTATTCGTGGATTGACCATCAATTTCCAATTTCCTCCTTCGTAAAATGGGGTGAGTGTACAGTGCTTCTCTCTCAGGGTGGTCATAAGATACAAAATGAAAATGAGTTGTTAAATGTTAGAAATACATTCAGGCACAAGGCACTATCGAAAAGGAAAACAGCATTTTGAGAAAGCAACAGTTGATCTATTTGTGAACTTTCTCAGAAGCCCAGTTTTGGCCAGTGTGTTTTTGCTCAGGGAGCTCAGCCCACACCTGGCTGTGGTTCAGAGGTATTCCACAATGTGTTGCTCGGGTGGCAGGGGTGGGGGGGGGTGCTCTCTGAGACCGACCACGCCTCTAAACATGCATTTAACTAACAGTATGTCGAGAACAGCCTTGACTCCACACCCAAGATCTCAAGTGGATAGTGCCTCATCAGTCATTTATAAGCTTTAGCGAATGAGAAGCTATTGCAAACATCCAAACATTTCACAAAGCCCCGTGTGACTAGCTGTCAGGCTTGCAATACGCGTTGATGCAGAAAATCCAGGTGGACATGTGGATCCCTGGACAGCAAAGGCTCTGGACTCTGATTCATCCTTGTTTCTCCTGTTGTCCCTGAAGACAGCCTTGAATGTTCAAAAAAAAAAAAGAAAGAAATAGGTTTTTCCTCTTTAATACAAACCAGGAGAAGCATTTTCCCATAGGAAAATGTAAATAATAAGCAGAGAAACCCATAAACGTCCATTTTGCGTCTGCTGTGGCTACTGTGTGCGTGATTTTTCTTCTTTCCCTACGCGTGGGTGACAAGGGAAGTCCCACGTCATCCCGAAGCGTCCCGAGCAACCCAGAAGAAGGTGCTGCTGGAGGCTTGGTCCTCCTTCCTTAGGGACCTTTGGGTTCTACTTCTGCCTGAATTATGTCTCCATCCAACGCATCCACTGGGAATTTATTGAGCATTGATATCTGCCAGACACTGGGAACAAAACAGGGAGCAAAGCGTCACAGCCCTACCTGCATGGGGGTGGCAGTTTCTCAGGGAAAAGCTAACTGCAGGAGAAAACCGTAGCCAACCAGCTTAAACCCGTCAGCAATAAATACAGCCCGGGAAGGAACCGAACGCACCTTAACGACGCCGCTCCCCAGCGCCCCCTGCTGCCTCCATCGCGCACAGCGGCGCCTTCCGCCGGCCCCAAGAGTAAGCCTAACCCCGCGGCTGGCAGAACACACTCCCGGAGCATCTATCTTCCTGGCTGCCCGGAGCATCTGAGCAGTACGCTCCCTGGCTCCAGGCTCCAGAAAGGAAATGGAGATGGAACACGGTCTAAGAGCCAACCTGGAGGGGACAGAGGTCTGCGTGGCCTGAATTCCAGGAGGTGGAGCTGCGGGCGTGGGGCCTGGGCCCCAGAGGGCAGGGAAGGCAGGAAGGTGAAGAGGGGGGGCTGAAGCCGACCAGATGTTAATTGCTCTTGGGGCACTGGGAGTTTCCTGTGTTGTCCAGCGAACCCTTTCCTCTGCTTTTGGGAGAATACGTCAGCCTCTTTCGTGAAAGGATGCAGTTTCACAAAATCACTACACTCCAGGGTGGGCATGAGTGTTTGGCCACGGGAGGCCCTTACTTCACGGGGAGGTAGGAAGCTTGCTCATTTCCCAGCGCTGGTTCCTGGGAAGAAGTGACTGGGCCCTTTCATCCATTCTGGGCGGCCGCTGGACACCTGGGTGGGCTGGGCTGATGAGGGAGATGGAAAACTCGGGATCGGGGCCTCGTTTCCTCTGCTCCTGCCACTCACCGGCTGTGTGGCCCTGAACAAGTGCCTCTCCTTTCTGGGCCTTGGTTTTCCAGTCCATAAGCAGCCCGGGGGCTCCAGTGGCATTGAGGGGAGCTGAGGTTGGGGGGGCAGGGTGGGCAGCACAGGCCTTGAGCAGTCCTGACCCCAAGTCAGGCCTCGGGGAGGAGCAGAGGACAGCAAGCCGCCTGGTGGAGGAAAGTTCAGTGATGCCCACAGCCACGTTTCCCTCCCCCAGACATGCACAGTGGCATTTGCAAGGAAGCATGGAGAACGTGGAGAAAGGCTGGTGGCAGCCCCCCGACCCCCGCCACCCGGCGTTCAAAGTCTGGGCTGGGCCAAGTGACAATGCCAAGGATTGTTCAAGTCTTCACCCCAGGCCAGCACCCGCCCAGCTCAACGGCGACTGCTCCTGCGACAGACTGGCGGGCGGTGTAGGGGGGCACAGAGAAAGGGGAGGGGAGGATGTGGGCGAAGAGCCAAGAGCCGTCGAAGGGCTGTGGGAACGAACTGGGAAGCCGCGGAGATTACAGATCGGCGCTCCCGTGTTATCCGGGCCCTGGCAGCACCACGGAAAGGAAATCAATCCCGGGGACGTAGGAAGACCTGTCTCTCGTCCTGCGTTCTTCCTTCATGAGCTGAGTCATCCTGAGAGAACTGAAGTAGTAAAATTATGACTTTATCTGGAACCCTTTCCCTCCGTGGAGTTCTAGCGGAAAGAAAGTGTTGCTAAGAGTAAAGCCAAACAGATCTGAACCAGTTCTTCCTGACCATAAGATATCTTTGTAAAAAAAAAAAAAAAAAAAAATCATCTCAGTAATGTTTATTATCTGGTTCAGGGACCGAGAATAATACCCTTTAGTCAGCAGTAAGCACATACCCATTTGTAAATGTCTCAAGTTCAAGTCTAACTTTAGAACCAACCAAATAAGAATAGACTCTTTAGAGCAAAATGTACCTTCTGGGTCTTGAGGTGCATCTGCCGGGGCTCATCTGAAACATTTACTTCACAAACATTGCAGATGTTACCGGTATCTGACACCTAAATTGCTCCAAGGCAAACATTATTTTAAAAGTTACTGACGAGGATACATCGTGTGTGTTCCAATTTGCATGAACCTCCTTTTGGCTTAGTTGGTGAGTTTTTTGTTTTTGTTTTTTGTTATTTTTCCCCTTTTGGTTTATTAGTGTAGAACAAGGTTATTAACCAAGGGCTCAGAAAGCTTATGAATGTGGGTGGGGGAAAAAATACATCTGTACTGTTACCTTCTAACTAAAACTGAGGTTTCACATTTCACTGGACTGTGGATATCACCACAAATCTAACACTGCGTCAGCCGTGCCTGTGACTTGGTCACCACCAACAAAAGCACAGACACTTCACAGACTGTCACTGTTGTAGCGGATACCATGTTAGGGCTTTGAAATGAGACCCCCCCAGCCCGCACCGGACCTCGTTCCTCCGCTAGTAAACGACAGGTATATTTCAAATATTTAAGAGTTTTTGATAAGAGTATTTCAATAGCGTGTGTTTTCTTTACTGCCCTATGTAATCCGTACCTTTTAAAACATCCTCCTGAGGAAGGTTCCACAGACTTCTTCCGCGAGGCTCACAGCCCACGCGTGGACGCAGGCGTACACATGGACACACACGGCAGAGACCGCCATGGACCTCGGCGCCTGCGACGCAAGGCTAGCGTTAGAAAGCTCCCCGAGAGACGCCCCACGCTTGCTGTGCAGCCAGGGACGAGGGGGAGATTCTTCTCAGCTGCTCCCTGAAGCCTGCTGGCCTGTGTTGTCTGGCTGGCTGTTGTCTCTGTCACTGCTACAGGGACAGAGCGACTGTGTCTGTATCCCCGGTTCCTAGCACAGTGCCTGACCCAGAGCAGGTTCTCCGTGAAGTTTGCAGAGTAAAAGGAAAGACCGTCTGGAAGGAAAGCCTCGCTGCAATCGGCAACCCCGCAGCCACGCCGGGGGCGCTGGGCATGTGGGAGGCTGAGTGTGTGCAAGACACGGTGGGGAGAGAGGGATGGTACGGGGACGTGGGACGGCCTTTTAAAAGAAATTCAAACCAGACTTCTGGAAGGTCGCTCTCTAAGAGCCCTGCCTGCAGTGTGAAAACAGCCGTCCCGTGTGTGGCCCCACCCGGCCTCACGTGGCCATCTCTCCCCCCCGCAGGGCTGGCTCCCCGGTATATATGCTGGGGCAGGGCCACCCGGCCAGGCACCTCGCCGCGCAGGAGGGCTCTCCGCAGGGAGTGCTGCCCAGCCCTCGCCCCGGGGACTCCGCGCTCGGCTCTGCAGCCACGGGTCCAGGATGCCAGCCGTCCAGCTGCTGCTTCTGGCCTGCCTGCTGTGGGGTGTGGCGACCAGGCCAGCCGAGCTCCGGAAGGCCGACGACCGGAGCGGCCGGTGCCATTACACCTTCAGTGTGGCCAGCCCCGAGGAGTCCAGCTGCCCCGAGCAGGGCCAGGCCATGCCAGCCATCCAGGACCTGCAGCGGGACCACAGCGCCCAGCGTGCCGACCTGGAGAGCCTCAAGGCCAGGCTCAGCTCCCTGGAGGGCCTCGTGCACCAGCTGACCTCGGCCCAGGCCGCCGGGCCCTCGGGGGCCCTGGAGGGGCCGCCGGTGGAGCTGAGCACCCTGAGGAGGGAGCGGGAGCAGCTGGAAGCCCAGACCAGAGAGCTGGAGGCAGCCTACAGCAACCTCCTCCGGGACAAGTCGGTGCTGGAGGAAGAGAAGAGGCAGCTGAGGGAGGAGAATGAGGACCTGGCCCGGAGGCTGGAAAGCAGCAGCCAGGAGATGGAAAGGCTGAGGAGGGGCCAGTGTCCCCCAGCCCGCAGCCCCCCTCAGGAAGTGCCGCCAGGCTCCCAGGCAGGTAAGCAGGCAGCATCCTCCTGGGTGACTTGTCACAGGTGGCCCAGGCCTGCCGTCCTCCGCCCTCCCCTTCCCATTCCTAGTAGGTTAACCCCCGACGGTTCCGTTTAGGTGGGCGGCCCTGAACTCCGTGCCTACCCATGACAGAGTCTGCCCGGCCCACGGCAATGTGACACCTGCAAGGACCGGGCGAGGGGCACCTGCCCGTACGTGATCAGTAGAAAGTGCCCACTCTCCTTTTCAGAAAGCCATGCCTCTGTGAATCTTTGCTCAGGGAGGCTGCGTCTTACCTTTTGGGGTTGATGTGACCTCTATTCACAAAATGGCAAGAGATTTATGAAATGATGGTAGGTGGTAGCTGTTTTTTTTTTTTTTTACATTTTTAAATGTCCTTCCTTGGCAAAATGAAGAGGCAGTTACCCTTTGTCAGTTCCCTCAGTCTGTTGTTTTGGCAGATTCCCTCCACTTTGTCCAATCTGAGGACCTCTGCGTGGAGGTCACCAGACCGCCCCTTGAGGTGGCTTTTGCTCCCTGGCCCTGCAGGTGGTGTGTCTGGGAGTGTGCACTTGGCAGGGGTGGGGGCACACCCTCCCCAGTAGTGAGGAAGATGGTATTTGTGTCACTTCTTGTGAAACCGTGCCCCCAGGTGCTCACTGTATCAGGAGGAAACAAGCAAACCAACCGGCTGTGGGATGGTTAGTGTGGACTCTTCAAAGACACTAATGTCAAGAACGAAAGAAAAGGGAAGGGGGGAGGGGCCTTGTTCCGATCGAAGGGGCTGGAGAGACAGGAGAGCAGGTGCACGGACCACCCGGATGGGCTCCTGCGTCGCGGGGGAAAGAGCCACAAGGGGCAGGTTCGGGATTGCCGAGGCAATGTGCATGCAGGCTGCTGGCATAACATAGATTATGTTATGGGGTTCATGTCAGGTCTCTTGGGTGAGATACAGTATCATGGTTAGGCGCCCTGAGGTCTGCAATTTACTTGCAAGTGGTCCAGCAAAGACTGCAAATAGATCGAGTGGGAGAAAGAAAGGTAAATCATCTGTGGCTACGCCTGTCGGCTGCGGGTCATCCCAATGGCTACACCGCACTCACTTGGAGGCCGTCAGAGAAGCTGGGGCAGGGCCGCTGAGGCCAGGTCCCGGCAGCTGACACCTGCTCCAGGCAGGTGGCCACAGCGACGGCTGGAAAAAGGTGGGCAGAATATGCAGCAGGGACAGCACAGGTGTTCACAGGCACTGCAGGTTTCGTCTCCTTGCCTCCAGGACGGGGCTGACAGTCCGTTGCATGGGGCCATCATGCAGGTTAGACAGCAAAGTGGGGGGCGGGAGGGGTCCCGGGGGTGGGCGGAGCCTCCGGCACGGAGCAGCCTCCCGGAAACAGGCTGTAGCTACGAAGGGCTTCTCTTACCTGAGCTCCACTATTGTTTACAAGTGTCATGTAATGATCGAAATGTCAACATGGACATGGCGATTCCATAAGACACTGATTCCAGGGAACGTGCGTGTGGAGCAGCACCCAGGCCGCCGTTCGCTCGCTCGGCCGCGCTTCCCTAGGGACCCGTGACGGCCCCCACGCATGCGGCCCCTCCCTGCCCGTGGCCGGCTCCACGCCCGCCAGCCTGGCCGAGCTCCCTGGGCACTGAGCGAAAATACAGGGTCCTGCAGAAGCACCGCCGGCTTGAGTGTGGCTGGGAGGGTAATAGTATGGCTGTCATGATTTATAGTTTTAGTTTGAACATTTCACCTAAACTGTCACGTGGTGTGCTGGAGTGCGATACTGTTATGTTACACAGTGACATGCTTATGATTTTGTAATAAAAAAGGGGCATTGCTTGTGCCGGACCCTGTGTGTATAGGCAAGTTAATAAATTCTGTTGCTGGGTCGAGCTCTTTAGATGTTGTAAAGATGCTATAAAGCAGAGGTAAGGGAGATAGGGAAGAATATGCAGAAGATTTTCAGAATTTTGTCATAGACATGAACCTTTCACCCTGGAAGGACTGAATGGTAATAGAAACACAGCCCCCCAAATGTTTAACTATCTGATACAATATAGATCTTGGTATTTTCATAAACTCTTCTTGTTGTTTTTCCCCCTACATTCTGAATGAGATATGATTTTGAAACATTCCTGAGCAATTTTTGTTTTGACACAATCTTATTGAGGGCCATTTTATTTCTACTTTGAGCTAAAAATACTAAGGCTCAGAGAGGTTGAGTAATTTGCCCAAAGTCACACAGCAGGTACAGGGCAGCACTCGGCTAGGAAGCTAGGACTTCCGGCCCAGTCCAGGCCTCTTTGCACACAACCGCTCCCTGCCTTCGGGCCTTGGGACCTTCAGGCCTTCCCCCCACCGGGCCCGGACCTCATGCCAGACAGCTCTCCCCCGGGAGCCTGGCTGCTGGCACCACCCAGGAGAAGCCGGGGGCCTCAATACCGAGCCACCCACCTGCCAACTGAGGCCTGGCCTTGCAGCCGTCCAGGGAACCATTCGCTGACATTACGTTTTATTGTGCTTCTTGTTTACTCAAAGCACAGGAGGTGTGGCTCCTGCAAAGTGTGGTGGGAAAGGGGAGGGAGGGAGGAAGGGAGAGAGAGAGAGGGAGACAGGGAGACAGAGAAAGATGGGGAGACAGAGGCAGACGGAGGGGCAGACAGAGACACATCCTCAAGGCTCTTGTAAAGCCTCTGGTAACAATCTGGGTCCACAGAGCAGATTAAGTCGGGAACATTTAATAGAAAGAAATATTCACAGTGATAAAAGAATAACCAAGGACGTAAGTAAACGCTACATCCCCCTGGGGCTGAGGAAGGACAGACTAGAAGGGGCTGGGACCTCAGTGGGGAGGTGGGGTCCAGCCCCTCAGGCAGCGGGGGAGGCGCTGCAGCTGGTCCAGGGCCGCAAAGGCTGCCCCCCACACATCCGCTGCGGGCAGGCGGGAGCAACCAGCAGCCTGTGGCTGGGGGCCCTGCAGTGGCTGGGGGCCCCGTGGTGTCAGGGACAGGCTGCAGAAGCCCTGCTGAGCCAGAGGGGTCCCCAGACAGGGACCGTGTGCTCCGTGTGGAGAGGGCTGTGGAAAGGCTACATACAGCCAGGCCAAGGCTCCTTGGGCTCCACCCGATGCCCTGACACCGAGGCTGCCAACCCAGCGCCAGCCCCCCAGCGCGGAGACTGCAGACCTCCGCCTCCCACGACGTCCCTGCAGCGCCCTCTACTGAGAAGGCTTAACCCGAGCTCATTCAAGGGGGCCCCTCGGGCAGCCAGGTCGCTCAAGGGCCAGAGGGCTGGCCGACGAGGGGTGAGCAAGAGGAAGGGCGGCGCTTTAAGCAGGTCTCTCGATTCTGATGCTCTGACATCTGGGCCGTGCTGATACCAAAGGCACGGCCCCTCCCGGGTCAGCCAGTCCCGGAGGCAGCGGCCCTCACCGGCGGGCACACCTTTACGATGCAAACCGACCTGTCCGGAGCCCACCCCCGCCCCCCATTCTGGCTCTCCTCTCAGGTCGTTCTCCTGCTGCCCCAACCCAGGCCCCAGGGAAGTTGTCCACACTGCCCCGTCGTGAACCCACGACCCTGCCTCACCGGTCCCCACGGAAACCACAACAAGGGCTCTTGCCCGGGGCCCCTGGTACCTCCCGGGGCGGCCTCTGCGGTGAGGGGCCTCCTCTCAGGATTGCTGGCCTCACCACAGCTGAGCCACAAACCTGCGTTTGACAGCAGCGCAGGCTGCTCCTTGTGGCTGCGGCTTTTTCCTCATATTCCAGGGCCCCCGACAACCACCACTCTGAGCCAAACCAGTGCGGTGACAACGTCTAACCAGTGTCCTCAAGCCTCCTCCCTTCTCTGTGGCTCTAACCCTCCGCTAAGTCCCTGTAGGAGCCCTGCCCGCTCTTCTTTGTCCGAAGCTGCTCTCAGAAAGAGACCCAACAGAATGTTTCAGCGCAGCCTGTACAGCTTGATATGCTACTTCTTCGAGGAGCGTTCGCTTGGTGACAAAGGGAAAAAAAGCCCAAAGTCGTGCAGGGAACTGTTCGCCGTCAAATTCCAGGCACCTCAGCAGAAGCCGAAAACCTTCCCGATATCCCCGACCCACACCCCGTGCCTACTCAGAAATCAGACCTCCCAGCAGGGGTTAGTGTGGTGGTGTGCAAGCCGTGTTTCTTTTATTTTGAAGACCCTACTCTCTGCTCAGCACATTGCTAGGCAATTCATTATTTGTGAGCTTTTTATTGTGGAATGTTTCCAGCACTCACAGGAGTAGAGAGACCAATAGGAACTCCAATGACAGGAACCTCCCAGCTCCGACAGTTGCCAGCAAAGTCCAACTTTGTTTTATCTGCCGCCTACCCCCCCACCCAGCCCTTTATCATCTTCAAACAAATCTCGAACATTGTCACATGTTTAGAAGCCTATTTAAATGCCATCTCCCACCCAGTCATGGGGCCATTCTTCCTCACGGGAAGACATTGTCTCTTTCCTTTAACACAGTTCCTGGGTGGAATTTGCAGAACCTAGACTTCCAGGAACTGCAGTCGGAGTTCACGGAGGTCCCTGCTGCCCGAATCTTGAAGGAGAGCCCACCTGGCCATCCTGGGAGTGAAGAAGGGGACACAGGTACGAAGTTAAATGCGTTCTCTTTTGTCCCCATGTGGTCTCTACCTGCGTCTAGTCCTGTGTCCGCTCCCTCGCCAGGGCCAGCCGGTTGGGTGACAAGTGGACTGGGCCGGCTTCACGGGGGACGCGGAGAGATGTGTCTGCTTCAACCATGCGGCTGACACATTGACTTGATTACACCTGGACAGTGACCTCTGTCAGTGGCTCCTTCCTCTCTTTATCTGAGGGACAGCGGGACACCATCCCCATCGGAGCACAGAGGCTGCTACAAAGGCTTCTTTTCTGAACTTTGGGTGCTCAGGAAAAATATCATCGTCCCACTCCAAGGTGTCCCCTGAGAGCCTGACATCAGGACACAGGCTGTGGTTTTCAGAAACTCCGACTCTCCAAGTTTTTGACAATTATTGCTCACGCTCAAGGGTGCGTGCGGGGCGGGGGCGTTTGGAAATTTTCAAGATATGCTTCCCTGAGAGATGAGCACTGCCCCTAGGAAGTTTCCGCCTCCTGCGAGGAGACTGAAGGTTCCTGTTCAAGGACAGAAATCGGTCGTGATTCTGCTAAATCTAAGCTCTTAACCAGCTCTTCATTACGTGTTTAAAGCCACATTCGGATCTTATGGTATTAAAATGAGGCCTGAAATACATGGTCCGACTCTGTTTTGTAGAGGTTGTTATAATGACTTGATTTTTTGTCTCCTTTAAAAAAATAATGCGATAAATTATACATGAAAGAATAACAACCTGGGACCCTGGCCAGGCCAAGTCGAGCGGGGCAGGTACAGCCTGAAGCCCTCCGCGCAGCCTTCTGTCAGGTGTTGGTCCCGGTCATGTCATCACAGACCGTTACTGGCCGATTACTCTAACTGAGCGCCTAACACGCTTAATTACCCTGAAACTAACTACAGCCCAACTGCCCAAAACACTATCGTTATCCCCTTTCCAAGTGAGAACACAGGTTTAGGAAGGAAAATAATGTATTGAAGGTCACACAGGTAGCAGGTGGCAAAACAGGGATTTAAACCCAGACCGTCTCTGGGTTCCTGGCTTCTGCCAGCCCCCCATCCCGGAGAGATGGCGAATCAGTGTTTTGTTTGTTTGTTTATTTTCAATTCCCCAGGATGCGGAGAACTGGTCTGGGTGGGCGAGCCAGTCACTCTGAGAACAGCTGAAACCATCACGGGCAAGTATGGCGTGTGGATGAGAGACCCCAAGCCCGTGCACCCCTACACCCGGGAGACCACCTGGCGCATCGACACAGTGGGCACGGGCGTCCGCCAGGTGTTTGAGTATAGCCTGGCCAGCCAGTTCGCGCAGGGCTACCCTTCCAAGGTCCACGTGCTGCCCAGGCCACTGGAGAGCACAGGCGCCGTGGTCTATGCGGGGAGCCTCTACTTCCAGCGGGCGGAGTCCAGGGCGGTGATCCGGTACGAGCTGAGCACCGAGACCGTCAAGGCTGAGAAGGACATCCCCGGAGCCGGCTACCACGGCCAGTTCCCGTACTCCTGGGGCGGCTACACTGACATCGACCTGGCCGTGGACGAGTCGGGCCTCTGGGTCATCTACAGCACCGAGGCGGCCAAGGGGGCCATCGTCCTGTCCAGGCTGAACCCCGAGAGCCTGGAATGTGAGCAGACCTGGGAGACCAACATCCGGAAGCAGTCGGTCGCCAACGCCTTCGTCATCTGCGGCACCTTGTACACCGTCAGCAGCTACTCATTGCCCGATGCCACCGTCAACTTTGCGTTCGACACGGGCACGGGAAGCAGCAAGGCCCTGGCCGTGCCATTCAAGAACCGCTACAAGTACAACAGCATGATCGACTACAACCCCCTGGAGAAGCAGCTCTTCGCCTGGGACAACTTCAACATGGTCACCTACGACACCAGGCTCTCCACAATGTGAAACGCCACCTGAGATGGCAGAAACGGCAGGAGGAAGAGGTGTTCAGGGCTCCCAGGGGGCCGGCCGGCCAGCTGAGGCCCACACAGCTTCCCTCTGCTTTCCATGCTCTCGTTAATCCGGCGGAAGGTGCGGCATCACCGTGTCTGACGCTGCGGCGACCGCGCTCTGGGCACTTAAGAGTCTCACAGCAGCTAGGCTTTCCTTCCGGCAGCTTTTAAAGGGATGTTTAGCAAAAATAGTTTAAGTTTTCTGGTGATCTGGGGCAAAAGCTATAATGCGTAGTCATTCCTTCATGGAGACCACAAGGCTTTTTATAAAGGGCCTTCGCTGGCTGAAGAGGGTGTTCGGAGAGGGGCGCAGGGGAGCAGGCTGGGCCCCAGGGGAAGCCGGGCCACCCGCTGTGCTTTCACGCGGCCGGCCAGTTGGCCGGCCGGTCAGCAGGGCCCGCGACAGGAAGTGGCCCTCGTGCGGGGAGAGGCGAGCTTGGGCCCGCACTCAGCTTCTTTAAGATGCACTGACAATAGTTGGCTTCTCATGCTTCAGGGAAAGCCCAGGTGGGTATTCTGTAACCTTTGCCTGTGCAATAAAGTGATCATGCGCACCATTCTCCTTGGATACTGTGGGATATTTTGCATAAGAGAAAAGCAGAGATTCTGACCATCAGATAACTCCTTTGGGCTGGGAGCTCTGATGGCAGGGTGCTCCAGGTGTGTGAGGCGTGTGTGTGCGTGTGTGTGTGTGTGTGCGCGCGCGCAACAAGGGTGCTCCCCAGGATGGCACCTGGCAAATGGTGGGATGCACAGCTCCCCAGCCCCATCTCCTGGTGCGTATGTCCCTCCTGAACCATCTTTTCATCCTTCCCCGACTCACCCTCCCTTCATCCAGACTCCACGTTGGTTCTCATTTGCTGTCGTGGGCATGGATTTCATAAACCACAGCCTCAGACGAGCAACCCGAATGCCATTCGATTTTAATAGTTACACCAAAATTCTCTCTTGAGGTGCCATTGTACCCGATGGTCCGAACATTTTCTCTTGCCAGTTCAGTTTGGACTCTGTTCCATTAGCATTTACAGTCAACTCAGGGTTTCCCTCTGCCCTGGCTGGGAGAAGGGCCAGGCCAATCTGTGCCTGAAAACCCTGCACGGCTTCCCATCCCATCCAAAGTCAGTGGCAGAGTCCCCGCAGAGCCCTGCCTCGATGGCTTCGTCTCTCCTAATGTCCCTGGATTCCTTCTAGCTTGGCCAAGGCCCATGGCCTCCTTGCCATCCTCTGAGCGACCAGCCACACCTCAGCCTCCAGGGCTTTGTGCTAGCTCTCCCTTCTGTCCCCTCTGTCCCTGACATCCACGTGCCTAAGGCCACCACTGTTTTCAAGTCCTTACTCAGATGTCACCTTCCCAAGGTGCGGTACCCAGACCAGCCTGCTTATTGAAACGGCCACCGGCCAGCTGCCCCCTCTGCCACTTCTCATCTTCCTTGCCCTGTCTTGGTATTTGGGAACTTCCTTCCCAGGTGTCCCTCCCTGACACGGGATGTGAGTCACTGTGTAAACTCTATACACTTTCCCACATTGGAATATAGACTCCCTGGGCAGGCACGGAGGGTTTTGCTCAAGGACAGGTCGCTGGAGCTGCGCCCCGCTCGCGCAGTAGGCACTCAGAGGTGCCTTCGGGACAAGCGAACAGGAGACATCATCCTGACCCTTGCTCAGGAGCAACTGGAAATAAAACTACCACACAAAGTCCTCTGTTAGTCCTTCTCCACCTCCCCCTGCTTGTGTCTCCTCTCCATTGGCTGCGTGACCTTGGACAAGTCCCTTAACCTCTGTGCCCCCCAACTGCCTGATGGAACTTCCTGTAACAAGAGTCACATTTTATATCGGCACCATCCAATGGGGTCGCCATGAGCCAGCACTGGACACTTAAAGTGAGGCCGGTGTGACTGAAGGACTAAGTTTTCTATTTTATTTCATTTTCATGCATTTCCGTTTAAATCATGGCTAGCCTAGGGGCCACACTCTTGGACAGTGCAGGGTGGATTCCTCCTCGGACTGAGGTGACATCATGGGCGTGTTGGACGCCCAGCTGGCAGTGCCAGGTGCCCACCCCCCACCTCCCAGGCCCACGTCGCCGCACAGACCACGGATAAAGGACCTGATTTCCCTGCCAGCACCACAGCCGCTGGCCACGCGGGCAGGGGCGCCTGCATGCGTTTTAAGGGCAGGCTTGGCGAGAGAACACTTACAAAGACCTATGAAGAAGCGGGTGAACTTAAAGATGGCACCCAGAGACATGTCCCCCATGTGGATTTGAATGGTCACAGTTTTGATGCTTTCCAACTGTTCAGGGAACCGTGGGAGCCCTGCGTTCAGGGTCTGAGCAATAATATACTTCTTCCCAACAACGTCCTTGACCTTGGCAGCTCTTCTGGTTACAGTTCTTCTGTTACTGAGCTTGAAATTCACTTCAATGCCCTAGAAGCAAACGTGAACCGCAGTGTCCATACATGTGACGCGCAGCACCTCCCCCCGTCCCTATGCCAGCGCAGGGGGCGGGCGCAGCTCCGTGAGGCAGCGGGCTCAGGAACCGTCGCGTCTCAGGCCGAGTTTTGAAAACCCAGCCACCTCTGGGTTCTCTGGGGCACAGAGCCTTAGAGTCAAGGTGGCCTGGGCTTCTCATCCTCTAGACTGAGTAACAAACACCGAGGCTGGAGAGAGAGAGGGAGGGAGGGGGAGGGAGGTAGAGAGAGAAAGAGAGAGAGAGAGCCATTCAAATACAACCACCAACCCTCAGCGCTCCACGGTGTGATGGCAGTGAGAGATGAACGCATACACACATCAGAGACTTGGCTGGAAGAACCGAAGACAACTCTTAAGTGCATTTGTGAGGATAACAACAGGCAAGTGTGGGTGAGGAGAGGAAAACCAAGAAAGAAAGATCTTCCAAGACAGTCTTCAAAGGCAACTCTTTTCTGGAGTTCTATGTCAAAGTCCATTTCAGAATAACTGACGTAGCGTGTGCCTAGGAGACTTTGGGGTCCTCAGCCGGGGAGGGAGGCGGGGCTGGGGGGACCGGGGGATCAGCCACGCCAGGGCGAGGGACTTGATCCAAATCTGAATCGAAGAGCGTCGCCCCGGCTTCCTCAGGTTTCTTGGTCAACGGCTCTCCCCTGGCAGGAAAGGCACAATGAAGGCAGGGTTTTGAAAAAGAAAGAAAACATCCCCTACCCCCCAGACCCCAGCCACTAAAGAGAACCACTTCCGTCCTGACCTGCCCCTACACGTGGACTCAGGCATCACCAGGTGGGAGTGAGCTGCAGCCCGTACTTTAACAGTGAGTCAGCTTTTCCCAAGCTGGCCCCCTGAACCCACGGCCTGGGGGCCCCCCCTAGCCGCCAGCTCTCCAAGGCCAGCCCAGGGCGGCTCGCTCTCGGGGTCCACTGGCACCCCAGCTTTTCTTGGTGGCCAGCCCAGCCCAACCCCAGGCTCACATCACCTCCCCTCTCTGCAGGACTGACCCCCACCCCCACCCTACCCTGGGCAGGGCGAACCCTGCCTTCCCGGAAACATGACTCGCCCGCCAGGGACCGAAAGACTCAGATCTTACTGTCCCCTGGCCACCTGCTCTGTCCCAGGGACCGGAAATGAACTAGAAACGAACGACATGCAGATTTGCAGCCACGTCTCCCAAGACGTTGTTCGGCTGAGGAAGCCAAAATGGGTGGGCGGCAATTTACCCCGGTCTGGCGGCCAGTAAAAGGCAGAACTAGAATGCAGACTTCGACCGCCGGGCCCCAAGTTCACCGTCGCGTCTCTCAGGCAGTGCTGACCCCCAGGGTGGCTCGGCGGAAGTGGGGTGATGGGGAGGGGCCCTGTGCGGGCTCGGGGAGGGCTCAGAACTGGGAGTGGGGTCTCCTCCTCCTTGCGTGGGTGTTAGAGTGGAGATCACAGCCCCTGAGGACTGTCCGGCCAGCGCATCAAATTCGCCACATAACCCGACCGGTAAAGGTTTCCGACACCCCATATTCATTCATGTTAACTAAGACATTGCACATAATTTATCAATTCACTAATCTCTTACATTCCAATAAGCTCTAAGGTTAAGAAATATTGTGAACAATATTGACTAGAGGTCCATGTTTTACAATCAATATTTTTAAACGTTTTGGCTAACTTACTGGGTTTGATAAAGTCATTATTTTTAAGCTTATACTGAACCAGACAACTCAAAAGGGTCAACCCTGCCAATTTTTGTTATCTGCTCATATTTACCTTATTAGAATGATTTCAACCCAGGTTTCTTGGCAGAAATTTGTTAGGCCACTTGTCTCTTTCTTTTTAAGATTTTATTTATTTATTTTTAGAGAGAGGGGAAGGACGGCAGAGAGACATTGATGTGAGAGAGAAACATTGATCAGTTGCTTCTGGCATACACTCCAACTGGGACTGAACCCACAACCCAGGCATGTGTCCCGACTGGGAATCGAACCAGCAACCTTTCATTTTGCAGGATGACACCCAACCAGCTGAGCCACACCAGTCAGGGCAACTTCTCCCGTTCAAGGGTTATATTCATTAAGACTAGACAACATAAATAACTAAGAGTTGGAAACAGCCAAAGTGCCCATCAGTAGATGAGTGGATTTAAAAAATATATATTACACAATGGAATATTACGCAGCAGAGAAAAAGAAGGAACGCCTACATTTTGTAACAGCCTGGATGGAACTGGAAACTATTATGCTAAGTGAAATAAGCCAGGTGGCAAAAGACAAACACCATATGATCTCACTTCTAAGAGGAATCTAATGAGCAAGGTAAACTAATGAGCACGAGAGAACCAGAGACATGGAAACATGGAACAGGCTGACAGGGACCTGAGGGGAGGAGGAGGGTGGGGACTGTTCGGAAGAAGGTGGAGGGATTAGTCAAAGATCCTGTATGAAGGACCCATGGACATGGACAACGGTGTGGGATTGTCTAGGGAAGTGGGGGGCAGGCTGGGCAGAGGGGGCCAAAGGGGGAAAAATTGGGACAATGTAACAGTATAAACAATAAAATATTATTTAAAAAAAAGACTAGATAACGTAACTCGTAAATCCACGTAAGCGAACCCAGTAACTGGTGGGCATTTGCTATGGGTGAAGCAACCCCCGACCTCCGGCTCCTGCCCCTCTACCGGGAAGGCCTCTGCTTCCGCGCAGGATCTCGCGACACAGAGCAGGCCGCAGCGCCTGGCCGCGCACCCGTTTCCGTAGAGCTCAGTGTGACCATACCCGGGAGTCCCCTGTGTTCTTTACCTGCCTTTGCCCACGGACGGATGCCGTCTAAGTCCTGCGGGCTCGCCGGATTCAGCAAACGCAAAGGGTGCCGGTTCAAGGGCATGTCAGAAAAACGACCGATTTTTACCATAAGCATTTCACACAGATTGCACAGATGTATTTTGGCCACATACATATTTTGTTGTTTATCTAAAACTCAAGTGAAACTAGGCACCTGGTGTCTTCTCTGCCCAGCCCACCCCTGACACAGGCGCACCCTCTCTTTCGGGCCGGTGAGCTGTCTTCTTTTAAGGACGTCAGGGGCACAGTCCTAGGCACCAGGT